CGTATTTTGGAAATGTTGAGTCGGATTAGTGTAGAATCGATTAATTTTATGGAAGAAAACCTTTCAATCAGCCGTAGTCCGTAAACTTGACACGTGTCGGGCTGTGATTGGAACGACTTGTAAGAAATCGGATTCCTAATAAATTGGAACGTATCTATATCTTATAGGGGGGTCGACTGTAGTTCAAAAAAAATTTACCTTCATTATAATATTCACAAAAATACAACCTATTTGATCATTTCTAATTTATATTCTCTATAATAAACAAATCTTTATACATAAAATGTTTCTCTGTAATAACTGTTTTAAAGACACAACCAACGATCACCTGAACGATCAGGCTAGAATTTGGCTAATGGGCTCATTGGGCATTAAGATGTTCATTACATAACTGTTTTATTTATAAATATATAGTGAAATGTTGGTATAATGAAATTGAGGGGACCAAAATATTTTCATTATATTGAAATACAGTCAAAAATGCAAGGATAAAGAAATTTATTGATGATAAAAAAATCATTTATACTTTGGTAAGAAAGTTTCTACAAATGCAATTTGTGTATTAATATTTATGAAACCAAATTTCACATTTTCAGAATGTAAATTATATTAATCTGTAATAAAAAAATATCACGAGCGAACAACTAAAATAACAATACAGTAGTAGTGATTAGTTGGAATCCTGCCTCTTTAATTGTTATTTCTGCTTGAAGCCATTATTTTCTGGTAAAAGAAGTCTAATTTTTGTGTGTGTTGTTTCTTTAATCAAAGTTTTTTTTCAATAAAATTCATTACTGTGACACAGCATTCCAATAGGCCATCAGGCACATCTTTAACCATGCCACCTAACCAGGTGTTTTTTCAGTCCTTGAAACAGAAAAACTCACTAGGACCAAGATCAGAGCTGTTTGGGGAGTGGAAGCACTTGAAATCCGTTTTTCAACTGTTGCTTTTGTGACATGGTTGGTATGAACAGATGCATTGTCATAAAGGAATAAAGGAAAACTTTTAATTTCTGATACAGTTTGAGACTTCATTTTTAGTTCTAAGTACTGAGCAACTTTTCCAAACTGAAGGAAATAACCAAATTTCTGAGCATCCGTCCTCCAATATTTTTCAAAAAAGACATTTTGCAATCTTGTCCATTGCTTGAGAAAGTATGTGGAACAAAATGGCTTGTACATTGAAAAATAAATGTATATAATAATGTCTTTTATTAGTAAAAAAGTTTAATAGTTTTCTGTTTTTCCATCCATGTGAGTCTGAGGACTATTGACCCAACTATGTAAAACAATATATAGATGCATGATGTATATAGTAATTAAAGAAAAATTATTAATTTGACATTTAAACAAATTTAAAAGAGATTATAAGCACCAAATATAATGCATCAAAAATAAAAATCTGTATGAATATATACAATTTAACAAATGAAAGATGATGATAAATTATTAAACAAAATAAATGATTCAGTGAAGAAAATAAAACACATAATACAAATTTTTTTTAATTCAGCAAAATACTCTAATAAACAAAAGCTAACAAAACTACTGAACAATATTTAAATTCAATTTTTGCTATGATTGGTTAAAAATTAATAGAAATTCGAAATCCTATCCTCTACATAATATAATAAATGTATACAAAGAACATATACATAATCCATACTCTATATCTTGGGATCTCAAGCCATGATTTCCACATGTTCAAGAGAATGTGCTGATCTCTGTAATTCATAAATTTCCTTACATTTATACTTATATATTTCTAGGGCTTCAATGTGCTTGAGGACATGTCTGCTTCTCATATATTGACACTTTTCATCTCTCCAATGTACCCTGACTGAGTCATCAAAGGCATAAGCTGCTAAAGCTACAGAGGGAAGCCCTTCTTAAAGCTACAGAGAGGAAGCCCATCTTAAAGCTACAGAGAGGAAGCCCTTCTGGAATTCAAGGAATGTGCTGTTCTCCCAACATGTTCTAAGTTGTAGATGGTTCTTGTCTATGATGGGTACTCTATACATGCCTGGCCAAAAGCATTAGCATTTGTTTACTAAAGAATCTACTGAGTTAAAAAAATTTTTTGTAATGTATTTTAAATAAATTTATTGACTGAGTGTTTATTGACAATAATTCTCCATAATATTTCAAGTTTGCACCTAGCAATCAGAATTCTTCATATCAAATTATATCAAAATTCAAATTAGGAAACTAGCAAATACTTAGCTAAAAAAAGACTTGACTGTAACTGAATAACTCATAGTTAATAGAATCATATGAAAACATAAATAAAATCTTAAATCTTTAAGCCAATTTATGTTAAAAATTATTATGTTTTCCTACCTAACAAAGGAAAAAGTAAATATTTAGCTTCATAGTAAATTTTGATAGCACATTGTTTTTGTTATTTAATATTAAACTTTCTTCTCATTTGAAAAAAAAAACTTAATGTATTTCAGTCATTTCTATTTCTATATCAAAATTTTATTAAGAAATAATTAAATTCATTACAATTTTGAAAACAAGTTTTCATTATGATTTTCTTCAAATTAAAAATATTCTCTAAATGTATTTGCATTTTTCA